AAAGAAAAAAAAAAAAAAAAAAATATATATATATATATATACAGTATCACAAAAAAAAGTAAAAGGGTTAGGAATATAACCCCAAAAAGTACTATCATACACACAAATGAAATAATTGGTAAAACTTATCACACTAACAAAAACCAAAAAAATAGACCTATCTTATCTTATCTTATCTCGCCTTATCGTACCTTATCTTACATTATCGTAAACAAATATAAGAATTAGCTTCACTTACACCACAACAATAATCCGTACAAGGGTGTCCGCATTGAGCTCAATCAGCTTGCTTTCTTGGTGGAAAGCTGAAAGACAGCAGCAAAACATTTTGTTTAGTTTTAGTAGAGGTTTTACAGCGCTCACAACTGCATAAGGCCATATGAGCGCCAGAAGATTAGAGGTGTTACAAGAGAGTAACAAACATAAAAAAGAAAAAGAAGGGGAGATAAGGACGATAGATGTTTCATAGGAAAGAAGGGGCAAACCACACCAGAGCACCCGCCAACCACCCAGTTTAGTTTAATAAGGTTTTACAGCGCTCACAACTGCATAAAGTCATAATAAGAACGCAGCAAAAGATTGAACATTTAAAATAACAAACGTACTTCCATGGTCTTTACGCGTATCTTATCAGTGTGTGTTTCCATGATTTTTATGTATATGTGTCACGACGCGGTGGAATCAGGCGCTTGTCAATTTTTAAGCATACAGAGTTATCGGTATCATCTGAAAGCTTGTTCACTTGTCTCACTTTCGATGAAAAATTACCCATCTATCTAGAATAGAAGTCGAGATATTAGCGATGGAAGGTGGGTGTCGCCTGGTTTTAGAGTCCTTGGAAACTGAAAACTTCCAATTTTTGTGACCTTAATCAACGTGTTTCAGTAAAAGCCATACAGCAAAGTATTCTTAAAGGGACGTAAAAGATGTTGAGCCAAAACACAAAAATTTGATACAAATTATCGAACTGGAAGATAAAAATACCGTTTTCTTCGACTTTATTATTTTGACGAGCGCCTGATTTCACCACGTTGCCTCACATTTTTTTAGTTTAGTAAAGTTTTACAGCGCTCGCAACTGCATTAGGTCATATGAGCGCTGCAAAAGATTGAACAATTAAAATAACGAACGGATTTCCATGTTCTTTACGTGTATCTTATAACTGTATATTTCCATGTTCTTTACGTGTATCTTATAACTGTATATTTCCATGTTCTTTACGTGTATCTTATAACTGTATATTTCCATGATTTTTACGTGTATCTTATAACTTTATATTTCCATGTTCTTTACGTGTATCTTATAACTGTATATTTCCATGTTCTTTATGTGTATCTTATAACTGTATATTTCCATGTTCTTTACGTGTATCTTATAACTGTATATTTCCAT